ATTAGTCTTACATTGTATCATTCATCAACAGTCCTTGTGCGGAAAATGTTTGGATATGTCTGAAGTTCTAAAACCAGTCATATCAGTTGTTAACTTCATCAGATCCACTGGGCTGAATCACCGACAATTCCGCGAGTTTATTCAACAGATTGGAGAAAATGATTTACCATATCATACTGCCGTACGCTGGCTTAGTTGCGGATTTCTAATTTGTTGGTCATTGATGATTGTTTCTGGGGTGATTCACCTTCCACATTCATTATCAATTTCTGGAAAATAATAATAATTTTAGACAAACCTTAAGCAAATGGGAGATTTGCATCAGGGGAAAGAATAAATCACTAGTGGTGGTCTAGGTACCAAAGTAATAGCTGTGTTTTGTTGATATACCTAATAAAAAAAATTGTGAGCAGTTACGGGACCCCTAGCAGATGTGAAATAAAAATAATAATTTGAATTGAAGAGGTTATATTTTTAGGAGTGATTAATTTTTGGAGTAGTAGAAAGCCAAAAACTTTCTTTCCCAAAAATTAATAACTCCTAAAAATATAACCCCTTCAATTCAAATAATCCGGTATTCAGTGAAGCTATAGAGATACAGTGACAAGCTTAAATTGTTCAAGTAATTGGCGACTATTGAAATACTACAAGTTCCATTCGTTCAATATTCTCTTAGTACAAGATTGAATGAAGAATACTGATCATCGCGTGGAGTTTTGTGAAATTATGAGTGCACGAGCAATGCGAAATGGTAATTTCCTGTTGAAGTGTATTTTTCGGACGGGTTTAGGTATCCCACAAAATGAGTATGAGTATGAGTATATCGACGGTTTATTGTAGCTCGTACAAANTGTTTAACGTAGTGAATCGTTTCGAAGGTTAAAATCATATTTTTGTGTTGAATTTAGGTAGAGAGGTACCTATTTCGAAATTGAAAATTGGTGAACATACTTTTGATTGAGTGAATTTTATCGAAGGTCATTATCACTAGTTACAGGCTGACGTGATTCTGTGAAACACCGTTATGTTTAAAAATTATTTTTTCAAGAATATTTCATTTAATGATCTAGGAAACGATACTCACCAGTGAGAAAAATTGAAATTTCTATGCGATACCTGTTTCTAATTTTTATTCTAAAAGTAAAAGTGTTCTATTGATTTATAGTTTCTCATTAACACGGAGAAAGGACATTCTGATGTTGATAAATGTGGTATAATTATTTATAGGAAATTGAAATATCTTGAAATAACCATTCTGCAAGATTTTCTTACATTTACTTTGTAATTTGTCGGAATGGACAAAAAGTTTAACTTTTTGAATTTTCTTCTTGTCGTCTTCGTGATGAATATTACAATGAAAAATGTTTACCAAAATAAAAATTCATTCAGATGAATTATTGTTTCCGTTGTCATATTTCTTGTGAACTGTCGAGTATTTGACATAACAAACCAAGTAAATATGTTTTCGTAAAGTGCATCCAAAACTGTTTCTTTCGATATTTGGTGCTCGAGGCGGACATTCCTCTTTCGAACCAGAGACGTGGAAAAATTTGTTATGAATCAACAGTATGATGAAGGTTATTTTATTTTCTATGATGACGAATTGTCTTCTAATTATGCCTGGAGTGTTCATCAGTATTTAGACCAACATTTTCTACTGCACTGGATTGTGAAGAAAGGCACTATTGAATGCCTGCACGGTCACTGGATTTGTCACCTCTTCATTTTTTCAATCATTTTCTAAATGCTATGAAGTTTATTAATATGAGAGTGCAAAAGTCAGTAAATTTTATATTCCAAACTTGGTGATACTTTTCAAGTAGATAGATGTATTTACTCTAATCTCAATGAAGCGGACACTTTTGTAAGTTTTTTTTTATTAGTGGAATCGTTTCAATGTATTTATTTATTAATATACCTAAACCTTGTCGCTCACTTGTCCGGCACAGCACAGCACGGCGCTGTCCGTCGCCTGATGTCGACGCGACGGGTAGTAGCATCGTCCACTTGTCCAGCGACAACCAGAATACTGAAGGTGCTGTTTGTTCGATTTCAAGGGAAATAGTCACAAAAAAGAATGTCGGTCCATCTCATTTATCAAAAGAGGGGAAATCTGGGAGAGTTTCGTCATCTTTTCAACGATCTGAAATAAGACAAGGAGACATTTTTCCAGTATTTCCTATCGGAGAGCTGGAATCTTTTCCGGCGGCGGACGGTCTTGGCTGTGCCGGGCTAGTGGGCCCTGGTTCATTCATTTTCATTGTTCCAATCCTATCCATATTTTGACGGGACGTGCCGTGATGTGGCTGTGCCGGACAAGTGGGCGATAAGCTTTAGAGTTTGTCGTTTAAATTATAAAATCTACATGTCGCTCACTTCGTGGTTCCTCCGAATAGCAAAAAGCGTTCAACTACTTGTCAAATATCATATTTCAATCGAGTAGAAAGAAACTGGGGAATTTGTTGACGTGTTCGGGTTCCAGGTAGTTGAATATTTAATCTTCTAGAAATTGAAAAGACTTATCTCATTGATAAAGATAAATTCTACATAGGGTCCAGGAATTAGTAGGTTATTGACTTGTACAGTTTATATACATAATTCTTGTCCACCATGGACGTTGGAATAGAAAATATGGAATAAATTAAGAAATTTACTTTCATGAATATTATAGTTTCATCCAGATTTTCACTATGATTTTTCAGACATTCCTTCAGAGAATTCAGAGACACAGTTTAGTAGGATATAGAAATGATTTTCAACAAACCTTACTAGAGTAGTTTGAAAAAAAGAATTTAGGACATAGGAAAAGTTGCAGTAGAATGTCTAAATTACTAACATTTTGTTCCTATTCCTAGGAGTATATCACTATTTGATCTTTTTATTTTGTCGAACATTCCATAATCGATATAAACGATATAAATAAAAATTATGAAAGTTGAATCTCCATATAGAAACCTCTGGTGTGGAAAAAGTGTTTCCATTTGGTCAATAATCCAGTTGTGCATTTAAGACAGCAGTAATTAAACTTGGCTCAATAATAATAGTGAACTGTAGTTAAATATTTGTTCAATAAATCTTGGAGACAAATTTACAAATATCTAAGCCAGAAAAATAGGCGCCGTTACGCGTTAGGTAACGAAGATGTTTACCCTCCCAGTTCAGAAACGAATATTTTTGAAGTGACAACTTCTTATGAGAGGCTTCTTATGGCTTCCCTTTCCCTCACGCATATCTCGACAGAAGGCAGGCTCTTCCTCTCTCGTGGGACAGACGGTCAGTGTATAGAATTCGATAGGCTTCGTTACCTAATGCGTAACGGTGCCAGTTTTGCTTTCCTTTCTCTCAGCGGAAGGCAGGCTCCTTCTCTCTCGTTGGACAGTGTATATTTTGCGTTAGACATGTACTGTTTGTTGACAGTGCTTATTATAAAAATCTAACCAGCAAGCACGTAATATTCTTTTATTACGTGAAACGTGGCTCAAAAATGATGATACTAAGTACATACACAAAACNGGCTTATGGTAGCTATAATATATGTACATAAACAAAATAATCAATAAAAGATTTTATTGATAAATAACCTTTTTTTACATTATCGTATTAATATACATAAAATTTAAGTAATAACCTGAGCTTTCCTCAAGTTAAACAATTTTAGTATTACCTAAATAGTTCAGCATAGATGAGTTTAAGTTATCACTTCTGTCGAACGTCCCCAGATGCACACGTTTTTTTTTTTTTTTTTCTACAAAAATGACACTCACAACTTTGACTCAATTGTTTTGATTCTCCTGGATTGAGAATAGTGGTCAGAGGCCGAGATATCAAATAACTATTTCACTATACGGTGCACCGATAAGATTTTATGCGGATACTTGACTTCTATATCTATCGCAAAATAATAATACCTTTTTGACGATGGTGCAGAGTTACTTTCATTCCGTTGTAATACGAATTCAAGACCGATTTAGTAATTAGTCGCAGTTCGTGATTCTCGAGAGAAAGTTGCGTTTTAAACGGTTCATATTTTATTGTTTAACGTTTGTTTGGTGCGAGTGAGTCAGCTCTTTCAGGGGATTACCGTTATGGTTTTCTGTGAGTATCTTCTGATTCTCTTTTTATTTCGAGGTGGTACACCACTGACAACTTCGTTCAACGGGTGAATTTGTGGAAGTTGTTCAGGGTTGCGATCAAACTTGATCAATAAGTTGCCCTTCAATTGATTACAATCGATTTGATCGTACACAGTTCGACTTTAACATGAAGATCATAAGTAGAAGTAGTAATAGAACAGTGTCACTATTTTTGTTCGGGTTTGAAGGTTGTCGATTTTTT